TTTTTTTTTTTTCAAATTGTCTACGTCAACCTCAGGAACCTGAATGCACCGTTTCTTTATGTAACTTTAATATAAATATATATTTGATGTACTTTGTGGCCGTTGAGGATTCGAACACTCTTTTTTTTTTTGCGTTCTCAGCTGGTAAAATCAGGCACATGCTACAGTACAGACTGACTGGGGACAGTTGTCTTCACTGTAAGAAGTCTGCCAGTAGGGGGATGTCCCTCCATGGGAAACCCCCCCCCCCATGCCTGGGTGGGAAAAGAAAAACCCAGAAGAACATTTGGGACACCACCTAGAGTTGACTGTGGGTAGTTCACCTCTTAGCTAACACAATGAATCCAGTTACTGATTCAAAGCCGTGCCTTTACGTCGGCGACCTGTCGTTGAGCTGCTTATCAACACTCGTAGAAACTCGTGTGTCTTATCAGCGCAGCTTTGGTGTCAGGCTGTTCTTCGAGGACTCTCCACTGGACTTGGACCTGAGATCGGGCGACGAGATAAGTCGTCTGGTCGTACGTGTTTGTCTCCGTCTTATCTGCTCCACACCATGTTTGTCAGTGTCGGAGTTGCAGCAGCCGTGACGGGAAAAGGCAGTGCACACTCACACACGCACACACTCACACACACACACACAACCGTCGCCTATACATGTCGCCCGGTTCAGTAACTGTTTGTGTTCATAAAGACCCACGTCGTTATCTCATTATAATTAAGGAGTTGATTAAGAATACCTTTATCACAACCTGAGCAGGATGAACCCTTTAACTCATACATGTAAACACTGTCTGTGTGTCTGTGTGTGTGTGTGTGTGTGTGTGTGTGTGTGTGTGTGTGTGTGTGTGTGTGTGATCAAATGGGCCTAAATATCAGTTCATCAGGAGATTCAGTTCCACAGAACACTGCGTCTCATCTGCTCTGCATATATTGCGTAACCAGAACACTTTCTTCTTGTTGCTATAGTGAAATTGTTCATCAAAACAGTGGATGGAGGTTTGTGTCTGTTCACAGCTCTGGGGTTTTCCCTGGGTTTTCCATAAACTTCATGTCAGTGTCATTGATGCTAATGTTGTTCACGCCATCGTTACCTCCAGGAGTTCTTTAACGTTTTTGTTTCTGTGTCAGAAATAGCAGTTTTTCCTGCTCCCAGATGAGTGACCTATAAAGAATTTACATCGTATTTGTGAACGGACTTTTTGTTTCTGTGTCAGAAATAGCAGTGTCAAAAATGGAGTTTGGAATAAGTCGTGTTGGAGTTTCTGTGTCTGTGTCTGAGTTTCAACGTGGTGCTGTGTCGTCTGGCAGCCTGCCACTGGATAATTTGCTCCAGCGTTGTTTTTTAATGAACATTTTCAACATTCAACAGATATTAGCTGTCACGACTGGGTAATTTGCTTCACTCTGTTCCTCGTGGGTCCAGCTTCCTTGTTCTTCATTATGCTGACGCATTCCGTTTGTCACAGTCAACAAAAGGCCAGCTTTGTTCTTCGCCTTCAGCTTCGCAATACGATCCCTAGTAATATTAATAGTAATATTCATTCGACAGTACAGACTCCAGGGACTGTCTTAAAACACGTTTATTTTCTTTAGTTCTCCAATCGTTTTACTGCCATTATTTCTGTCAGTGTAAAGATTTGGATGAATTAAAGAATTTACTCTGCAGGAAATTCACACTAAAAAAAGGCGATGGCACAAATTGGATCACAGACAGAACAAGTCCGTATCCACGAGTCAGTATCCACGAGTCAGTATCCAGACACTTTCTGTATTTTATATTTGTCCGACCACAATAACAATCCAATTCCAATACATGAAGCAAAACCCGATCGAACTCTGTTCATTTTCTCTGTTTGCAGCTACATCATCAATAACATGAATCGACGTACGACAAACACCACTGTCCATTGATTTAAAACTTAAAAGTCATGATGCAGTGCTGCTGTAGGGAAGGACGAGGTGGGGAGGGTGGGGGGCTGGGGGGTTTGAAAACCACTGGGGGGCAGTACTGTGAACCGGCGCTCTGTTGACAGCTCTGTCAGGAGGTCTGAGGTGTCGTTGCCATGGCACCGTGACAGAGCACGTCCTGCTGAGGTGAAGGCTCTGTCCTGGCGAGGCCGCTGACGTAAAGCCACCTCCTGTCCTGAAAATGGAGCACTGGGCTATGTGAATAATTCAGCTGCTCGGCTCAGGTGGCAGGAGAGGCAGCTATCGTCTTAGCATGCTCCCAGATTTGTGCCAGCCTCCGTCCTCCGTCGGTGTGATTTCCATCTTGAAATTCAGCAGGTGTCGTTTTACACCAGCCCCCAAGTGCATGTACACGTATGTTCAACCTATGGGTCGCGTCACGTGTCACATGGAAGTAAACAAACCTTTTTTTTTTCTGGGTGGAAGTCGATTGTTTTTTTTTGTTTTTTATGGAAGTAAACAAACCTTTTTTTTTTCAGTCTAATTTACATGTAGGCCTTTAAATATGGGACCAGTGCAGGTGAACGTGATACTAAGACACTAAGATTTCTATTTTGTCACAGTGCACATTTCCTGACTCTTGTTTAATCTTTTTTCAAAATAAATTGATTTTAAAGTTTGTTAAATACTTAATTTGAAGTTCTTGAATTTTCAAAAAAATTCCCACAGTTCTTATGGTTATTGACATGTCATATGCGACCTTTTCTAATGAAATATAACATTTCTTGGTTTGGACGTAGTCTCCTCTGACAGACTGGAGAACACGACTGGTGACTGCTGGATTTTCTTTTGTCGTCTGTCATTTTCATGGTCTCTTTTTAATTTGATCTCAGTCTTTTCGTCATGTTGACGTCGATGGTTACAGTTGACATCCGTACAATAAAAACCAGCTCTGAGATCAGGTCTACAACAGCTCCAAACGAGATACTCTGCTGCACACGCTCGCTCATGTTCAGGTAACTGGATCTGCGTCGTGACGCTGAGCCTCATTAATGCACTTGAAAGTGTTTTGATATGCGATCAGCACGGATCGACTTTGAAGATGTGTACAATGCGCGGTGAGTCCTGTCTCGTCGTGTTTTACATCGCCCTGGGAAACATGAGAACACGAACAGCCGGAACTGTTTCTGCTGCACCGACTGAAAAGTCTGCTGTTTACTTCTGGACCTGGTCTGGTTCTTCATACACCTGTGGGGGTGTATGAACACCAGGACACGATCTTTTCATTTAAATTATTATTTACATTAAGATCCTGAATATTTACAATTCAGACCATGACGTTCTCAGCAGTGGAAAAAACATTTTTGTTAATTCAACGTCTCTTAATTTCCTCTTGTTTTTGGAGATAAAATATGTATTTCCCTGTGAGAAATATTTGAATGTGTTTTAATACAGTCACTGAACGGCTGAACCTAACACAAAATATTAAACAAATGTGATTAATGTGATGGATTGTTTGTGTTGAAGTAGAGAACAGTTGGTGATTGTTATTTGCAGAACTATTTTGTAAACCTTAGAGGAAGTCTCTCTCAAGGCTTTTTGTGGCGTTGCGTAACATCTTCTTCCTCTTGAGGGAGCAATAGGAAATGGCAAAGTGTAATTTCCTCCTCGAGGCCAGGGAGTGCAGAAAACTCAGTCTGTGCCGTGAAATCGATGGACTCTTCATTAAAACACACGCAGTCGAGCGCTGGTTTGCCGTTACGGAGGCGTGGACCCTTTGACAAATGGCCTAATTTATCTCATTTACATGTTACATTTGTGGCCCCGTGTGTCCAGTCGTTGCTTGGCAACAGTCACTTCCCATGTGGTCATCACATCAAGTTGCTATTTGCAGCGTTTGCGCTCGGCGGGGTCTGATGGCCCATTGTTCCAGTTGAGCTGTGAAACCATCAGACCTGAGTTCACGCAGCACCTCCTCGTGTTTGGAGAACAAATATGTGGTTATTTTTCTTTGTTTTAACACTGTACCATATTACATGTAAGAGACAGGTTCATTAAATCACTTTTTTTTTTGCCTGTACAGAACGTGTTGCGTCTCGAGTGAACTGTGATTCTTTTGTTCGCCATACGTCAAACCGTTTCTTTTACTGAGATTTCTGGGAACGGGTGTGAGTCTTATGTAAGGTGATAGTATCAGTTATGTAAGGAACTGGAACACATGAGAACCTGTTATCTTTAACATGGCCGCCAACACAGACACAAGCACACATTTCTAACACGTCTGTGATAAATAGTCAAAAAAAAAGTTTTCACTCCGGTCCAGAGTCCAGAGTTTGATGAAGTTTTTCTGCAGGACTTTTCTGGACACAAAAGGAAAGAAGAGTTTTTCTGTGGCTAAAAGAACAGCTGACATAGTTTTTACATCTTGTGCAATTCAGCAGATTATGTGGCTTTTTTTTTTTTTTTTTTTACTCTAGCTGTGTTTTATCTAATTTAGCTACACGCCCATGCTAACCAACCTGCCTCTGGCCCACTCACTGTATTGTGTCGTAACGTAACGTCGACTCCAGACTGAACCTTCCTGTTTTTCTCTTCTCCCTTCAGAGCGCCAGAGATTATTTTGGGGCTGCCGTTCTGCGAGGCCATCGACATGTGGTCGCTGGGCTGCGTCATCGCCGAGCTCTTCTTGGGTTGGCCTCTGTACCCCGGAGCTCTGGAGTACGACCAGGTACAACATATATACAGTATACACCACGTTGTTTTGGACTGAGTGCTGTGTTACCACGGTGATACAGGGTGACTGTTGTGTAAGTCAAACATGTCGTCGTAAAAACAAAGCGTTTAAGTCAGTGGGTACGTGTTGTACCCACTGATACGTATCTCCTTACAGAAGATAAGGGCCAAATAATTGACATTCTTCAGAGATTAGAAGGAGTAAAACTCACATGCCCCCCCCCCCTTCACCCCCCCGGCCTTATACTCACGACGCCGCAGTAATGTGATTACACTTTATTTGTTGTTGCTCCTGGATCACAATTGATTTGTTTGCTTTACGGCCAAGAAATCCAGCATCAAATCCTAAACCCTAATATTAATCCGGTCCAAGTGAATCAGGAAATTGTTCTGGGCCACATGTGATTATCTTCCCTGTGGCCTGTGTGATCTGAAGTCCACGTCTGGGACTGAGGGACTGAGGTCCCCGACGAGGGAGCGGGAGCGTGAGAAAAGACCTCCGTCACAGTCACATACAGACCAGCTCTGGATGTGGTCAGATCTTTGGTCATTGATCTTCTTTAAGTGTCATCGTCATCATCATCATCTTCATCATCTTACACTCCCTGTTATTTGTTTACATCAGATTTACAATAAAGAGTCACATTGACATTTGACCTTTTATGGACGTGGCCGTGTTAGACCTGGATGTTGTATCTCTGGACATACAGTGGCCACACACTCGCCCCTGCACGTTGACCCCCCCTCGCCCCCCCCAAAAAAAAAAACCAGCGTGCAGTGCCAAGGCTGTCTGCAGTATCACTCTACACAGCACGTTGACCCCCCCTCGCCCCCCCCAGCAGTAGCCAAACACACACACGTGTGTGTCTGTGTGTGTGTGTGTGTGTGTTTGCACATTATGGCCATGAAGGCCAGGCTTCACTCGTACTTTCTGCCTGATGATTGGACAAAATTGAATCATTTCATTATTGAGTTCTCTTCTGTAAAAATGCACAGAAACTCTGTCTGTGTCTGGACGCTGCCACTTACCAACAGTCACCCGTCACGGTGACCCCTACGGTGACCCCTACGGTCAACTCCTGGTGTGTTTGAGCCAAACCTTAGTCAGGAGATTTGAGACGCCGTCGATCTGTCCTGCACTTCAGGACACGTCGCTGCTCGTCCAGACTGAGACGACTCTTCTCTCCTACTTGAACCTCAGGCTGAACGGTGACATTTTTATTCCCAGTGCAGGGAACAAAAGCTCTTTTATGACAAATTGAGTTGCATTTTTAGACCATAAATGGAAAAATGACTCCATGGATCGCTGTCTTTCTGTCCGACCGCAGAACTGAGGGTCCTTTGGAGAAAGTGGGAATGTTTGAGTCACTCTGTAAAAGTACAGAGGCCTGGTCCAAAGATCTGGGCTCAAGTTATTCTGAGGCATTAAGTGGAGGTCGTAAAGTGAAGGGGCTTTGAAGGGACCATTCTGGGGTTGGTGTATCTGTGTGTGTTCTTCCTTAGAAAAAGAAAAAAAAAATCTATGTAGAATTGTGTATAATTCAGTTTTTAGTTTTTTTGAGGAGCAGACTCTGAATCATAGATCTCAGATCTGTGGAATTGGTTTTGGTTGTGACAGATGTCACTGGTTCACAGACGATCGTGGGTTGAGTCATTTTCTAAAGTGTAAAAACACCTGTGTTTGTGTGTCTTGTCATGCTGTTGTCTACACCTCCTCCCTCCTGACAGTCGCACATTAACAGGTGTGAACAGTTCTGGAAATAGCAACGTTACCAGTGGTGTACGAGGAATGTCGCGCTAAAGTCAACCAGGAAACTGAAACTGGTTAAGAGTTAATAAATCAATTGAAATGTGAATATGCATGTGTCGTGGGGAAGTATATATGTACGTGCCCCCCCCCCCCCCGTTAGTTTTCACAGCTGCGACACATCTATATTAAGATACGAGTGCGACTCAAACAGTGGAGGTTAGCCTCGTTTGTAAGCAATGCAAAGTTGAGCTGCAACCCATTTTGTTTTACTGAACTGTCAGAAAAAGTTGACAAAAAGACAATGACAACGAGGTTTAATGTTAGTAAACCATGAACAGATTCTAGAAAAGGTCAAAGGGTAAAAGTCATTACACATGGTTTATTTTTTTCTCGCAATTTTAAGTCCGTCCGTTATATTACTCACTTTTCTCCAAAGTGTAACTGTGTTGCTAGTACTACCAATACAGTATATACTGTAGTATATACTATACTACAGTATATACTGTATAGAGTATTGAGTGTCCAGTGATAATGACCGAAACACTCTGACCCCACTGATGACGTGTCTAACAGTAAGTTATTAGAAACATTTATCTAATCCCAAATAGTCATAGATTAGTAATTCACCCCATCCTTGACCTCTGCCCTTTCACCCCGTCGACCCCAACCGTCCCCCTGTCGTCAGCCCGTGCCTTCATATCCACCAATGTGTGTTTTGTCACATCCTCGGTGATTACGGCAGAATTGCAGCGTCAACGCGTCGACAGCCGTCGGTCACGGCGTGCTCCCGGTGGAAGGACGGCCTCCGGTCAGTTGGTCAGTTGTCCCAGATTTTGCTGACACGTCGACGACCTCTGACTGCCCTTTCTCTCTGTGCTCTTGGCTGGTTTGCAGCAGATGCAGTGGCTCAGTGAAAACGATGTCCGTTTGGCAGAGCAGTAAAGGTTGAAGTGCAGTATTAGATAACGGACAATTCACAGCTGCTGGACGTAAACCCAGTCATCGCTTTGATAGAGTGGTGGTCAAATATAGACCCTCAGCTGCCAAACATATTTACCTCTGGATGTAATTAAATATTAGGTGTTAAAAAAAAAATCTCTCTTCACTTGGATGTTCCTGTCAGTACCAGCGTTTGGTGGTACTGACAGCTGAAGTTTGAAAAGATGACCGGGCGTCCTGTGTGGGTGAAATATAAACCCGAGCACTGAGTCTTCTAACTGTGGTTCCACTTCATGGGAAATGGGAAATGTTTGCTTATGGATTTATCTCTGCTGAAGGCCCAGCACGGTGGCAGTCGTCGCCCCCCCTCCCCTCGGGTGGTATTTTTTTTTATTAGTCCATTTGTGAAAAGTGGTGACCTCAGAATGAAGTCACTGGTCAGGATCAGTGGGGAACAGTTGTAGTTGCTGCTGTTGTCCTGTGTTCTTCATGTTATAATCACTCGTTCCTCTCCCTCGTTTCCTCTTTTTTTTCCTAGATCCGGTACATCTCTCAGACTCAGGGCCTGCCTGCCGAGCATCTGCTCAACAAGGGGACCAAGACCTCTCGTTTCTTCACCAAAGAGTCCGACTCTCCGTACGCCTCCTGGAGACTCAAGGTACACGAACGTTACCTTTGCCTGAAGAGGCAGCAGAGACACAGACAGTTCAGATGTTGTAGGTTTGAATTTTATTGCACAGCTTTGTGATCAGACAGTATGAAGAGCTTCTCAACAGGACAGTGTCTGCACACACTGAAGAAAACTCATGGAAATGTGAACCTGTGTTTAGACTAACTGCCAGGACGACTCCTTATAAATAATAAATGATTGGGAGCTAATATTTATCTGTAAGTGCACTTTTAGGCAACAAGGAAACAGTCAACAACATGACCTTATATGGCTCGTTATCAAACCTTTATTGACTACAGTCTGGTGATACAGTACGTATCAAGTTACATGGGCAACAATACAACATACTGCAATATACTGTAATATACTGTAATATACTGTAATACTGTAGGGATGACAGTATGGTTTTTGAAACAATTTAATTGTCACTAAAATGTGAACTGAAGAATCTACATCTGTAATCACTAACTGAACAATATCAACACAGTTTTGTGAAACAAAATATTGCAACATTTCAGTGATATAATCTATATTTTCTCACACCTCCCATCTTTACTCTACTTCCCCCCCTTCACCCCCCAGACGACAGACGAGCACGAGAAAGAGACGGGGCTGAAATCCAAAGAAGCCAGAAAATACATCTTCAGTTGTCTGGACGACGTAGCACACGTGAGTGTCAGCGGACGCTGTGGTCGTGACGTCATGCGACGGCCAACACGTGTGTTTGTTGAACGTGTCCTCCCTCTGTCCTCACGTCAAGGTGAACCTGGTGTTGACTCCTGACAACAGCGACATGCAGGCGGAGAGCTCAGACCGCAGGGAGTTTGTGTCTCTGCTGAGGAGCATGCTGCTGATCGACGCCGAGGACAGGACCGTTCCTTCCAGTGTCCTCAACCACCCCTTCCTGACCATGACTCATCTCCTCGACTATCCACACAGTCACCAGCGAGTG